ATTTTTATGGCTTCCCAGAGTATCATCAAGGCCACCTAGGAACCTCGACTTCCATTCCCATCTGGTGGTAATGAGGTACCTCTTCCCTTTCCCATCACAGTGGTGTCAGAGAAGGTCTTGTGGAGATCCAGCACTTCCACCACTGACCCATCTCCTTGCAGTGTCAGGGGAGGCCATGTGGAGACCCTAAACTCCCACCCCAGCCTAGCATTAATAAGGCATCATGCCCACCTTTCCCACCCTAAGTGTCAAGAGAGGCCAAGTGGAAAAGGAAAACTTAGACTTCCACCTCCACCTGGTAGTAATGAATCAGTGCTCTCTCCCCGACTGGCATGGTGTCAGAGAAGGTCAGCTAAAACAGAAGAGTTAAATAAGATCCAGAGTCTCATAACATACTATCTAAAATATCCAAGATATAATATAAAAATTCTCCTCAGGAATCAGGAAAACCTTAACTTAAATGAGAACAGTCAATCAACATGCCAACACCGAGATGAAACGGATCTTGGAATTAGCTGAAAAGGATTTTAAAGCAGCTACCATAAAAATGCTTCAACAAGCAATTATACATATGTCTGAAGCAAATGAAAAACATAGACAGTCTTAGCAAAGAAATAGTAAGTCTCAGCAGAGAAATAGAAAATATGAGAAGAATCAAATGGAAGTTTTAGAACTAAAAATGGAATAACTAAACTTTTAAAACTTACTAGATTGACTCAAAAGTAAAATGGAGAGGACAGAGAGAACAATCAATGAACTTGAAGACAGAGCAACTGAAATTACCCAATCTGAACAACAGAGAGAAAATCAAGCTGAAACAAAATGAGCTCCAGGGACATGTAGGACTATGTGAAAATGTCTAATGCTTATGTCATTAGAGATCCAGAAGGAGAACCAAAAAGAGTGTGGGACTGAAAAAGTATTAAAACAAATAATGACTGAAAATTGTCCCAATTTAGCAAAAGCCAAAACTCTACAAATTCAAGATGGTGATGAATCCCAGATGGAATAAAACCCCAGCAAATTTGCAATAAGACACATCGTAGTCAAACTTCTGAAAACTAAAGAAAAAATACCTTCAGCAATAGAGAAATGATATCTTAATTATCAAGAAAAAACAAGTCAAATGATAGCAAATTTCTCTTTAGAAATCATGCTACCACCAGAAGCCACAGGAATTGAACAACATTTTCTAGTGCTAAAAGAAAAAAACCCCATCAATCTAGAATTCTCTATTCAGTAAAAAGTCCTTTGGGAATGAAGGAGGAAATCAAGACATTTTTCAGATGAAAGAAAACTAAGGGAAATGTTGCCAGTAGATCTATCCTAAAAGAATGGCTTAAAAAAATTTTTTTGAAACAGAATGAAAATGATAAAAGAAGGAAATCTAAAAATATCAGAAAGGAAAAAAGAACAATGGAAAGTAAAAATATGGGTAAATGTAATAGAAATTCTTTCTCATCTTGAGTTTTCTAAATTATGTTAGCTGCTTGAGCAAAAATTATAACATTGTCTCATGTGGTTCTCAATATATGTAGAAGACATGTATAATTTAAGGCAATTATATTGTAAACAGAAGTCAAGGGACTTAAAAGGAGGTAAGCATTCTACATTTCTCTCAAACTGTTAAAATGTCAACACCAGTGGAGTGTGAAAAGCCATATATGAATAATGTAATACCTAGAACATCACCAAAAAAGCTACTTTGTGAGATATAGTTGAGCATTATGTATAAATAAAAACAGAATTTTTAAAATGTTCAAGTGACACATAAGAAGTCAGGAAATAGACAACAGAGGACCGAAAAACGAAACAAAAAGTGAAAAGCAGCCTTAAGCCCTAATATACCAATAATTACATTAGAGTAAATAATCTAAATACACCAATTAAAAGGCAGAGTCTGGCCAAGTGGATTAAAAAAACAGAACCCAATTATAAAGTGTCTCACTTGAAATTTAACAACATAGGTTGAAAATAAAAGAATGGAAAAGTATTTGCGTATATCATGTAACCATTCATCAAAAGAAAGCAAAACTGGTAATATTAGTATCAGATAATGTAGGCTTCAGAGAAAAAAAATTTCCCAGAGACCGAGATATATTGCATAAGGATAAAAAGTGTCAATCCACTAAGAAGACATACTAAGATTATGTATGCAGTAAACAACAGAGCTGCAAACTGTATGAAGCAAAACTGATAGAACTGAAAGGAAAAACGGATTTACAATTACAGTTGGAGATTTCAGTACCTCTTTCTCAACAACTGCCATATGGAACAATTAGACAAAATCAGCAAGTATATATACAAATTCAACATCATCCACCAAGAGGATTTAATTGACATGTATAGAACATTCCATCTAATGACAGCCCAATAAACCTTTTCAAGTGCTTGTGGAATATTTACCGAGATAGACCATATCCTGGACCATGAAAAGACCTAACAAATTTAAAAGAATTGAAATCATACAGTGTGTATTCTCTGACCACAATGGAATCAAACTAGAAATTAATAACAGATGATAGGAAAGTCTCCAAGCATCTAGAAGCAAAACAACAGCCTTACATAACCTATGGGCCTAGGAGAAGGTTTCAAGGGAACTGAGAAATACATGGAACTTGATGGAAGTGAAAAGACACCATATCAAAATCTATGGGATGAGCTAAAACAGCGCTGAAAGGGAAAGTTATAGCATTGAATGCCTGCATTAGAAAAGAGGAGGATTCTTACATAAGAATCTCCTACCTTAAGAACCTGGGAAATAAAAACAAACCCAAAGTAAGTAGAAAAAAATGATAAAGAGCAAAAATCAGTGAAAATGAAAACAGAAAAACAACAGAGAAAAAGCAATAAAACAAAAAGCTAGGTCTTTGAAAAGTAAAATTGACAACTTCTCTCTGGTAAAACTGACAAAGGAAAAAAGTCAGAAGACACAAATTACCGATATTAGAAAGAAATAGGACAAAACTACAGATTCTGCAGCCATCAAAAGGATGAGGGAATACTGTTAACAACTCAACACACGTAATTTGACAACTTAGATGAAATGGACCAATTCCTCAAAAACAAACTACAACTCACACAATATGGAATAGATTGTTTGAATAACCCAATACATATATTACAGGAATTGAATAATTAAATT